AGACCAACCCATTGCTACTGAGTGGATTCTGGCTCATGGCGACCCTACGAGACGGAGCAGAACTGCCCCATAGAGTTTCCAAGGCTGTAAATCTTTACAGAAGCAGACTGCCACATCTTTCTCCCATGGAGCTGCTGGTGGGTTCTCTTGGTTAGCAGCTGAGCACTTAGCCACTGCACCACCAGGGGTCTTTGAAAATGAGACACTCTTCATAAAATGAGGACAACCATCATGAGCCTTAGAAAGGGAAGACGTACTCTGGTAGATGCGTAGGTAACCATGTCCTTACCCTATTGTCTGATATTTTGCTCGATGGTGAAATACTTTTGTTGAAAAATGCTTATTTTCCATCCAGGATTTGCAAATACTAGAGAAAAATAGTCTATTTTATAATCCATTGGACATAGGCTGATTTAGTGTAACTCTGGGTGCAGATCCGTTTGCAAATTATGTAGAACTGGAGGAGTAAGCTGTTTTCTTTCCTTCTCACTTCTTGGTCCTGGGGTCAGATGAAGAGATTTTTGGTCTGTGAAGACTCAAAGACACAACATCCATCCAAATGAACCAGAGTTCATTCCAGGCACACCAGATATCGAATTTTAGGAACTAAGTATATAATCCCGGGTATGGGGAAAATGTAGTAAGTAGACCATGGACATTTCCACAGGCTCTCTGCCATCCTAGGTGGGCTACCTTTCATTTCCTTGGTGTGATCCATATCACAATCACAGAATTTAGTATCTTTCCTCTCTAGGTCTGCCTTCAACCTCCCACCATCTGCCATGGTACCTTGTGCATGATCAACAGTAAAGTAATATTTCTTGAGCAAATGAATAATTAATTTCACCTTTTTCCCCCTACTAAGAAGTAACATGGAGCCCTGGTGGCGTAGTGGTAAAGAGCTTGGCTGCTAACCAAAAGGTCGGCAGTTTGAACCACCAGTCGCTCCTTGGAAACCCTATGGGACAGTGCTACTCTGTCCTATAGGGTCGCCATGAGCCGGAATCGACTTGACGGCAAGGGGTTTTGGTTTAACAAGCAACACAGACATTTCAATAACGTACCCTTGGCTCCTCACCTCACTGCCCTCTGACTCTCGCTGCTTTGTTCAACCTCTTCTGACCTGCTGGATGGTGGTTTGGAGAAGCAGTGAAGTTGGGGATAGGAGGCAGTGTCAGTATCCAAAAGTACATAGTGGCTGTCAGGGGTCAACACAGTTTGTGTCTAACAACCTGGATAGTGATGGGGGCTGGGCTACAAGTGAGGAGGATTCCTCAGAGAAGTGTTAACCAGATCAAACCAAAATGTTTATCAGAATTCCTTTCCCTATTGTTATTTATCTAGCTTGTTCTATGTTAATTTATCCTAAGAATTTGAATATAATTCCTGGATCCTTTTAACCTAATGCTGTGTTTATGACTATGATTAACAGTCAGATGTATTTTTAAATTAATCTGTGAATTTTTTCTTAGCATTAGGCTATTTAAATTATTTAGTCTTACATATTTTCACCTACTAATTAATGTTTGGGTGCTTTTTTTACAAAAAAGCAACTATGGTAATATGTTGTTGCTGTTCTTAGTTGCTGTCTAGTCGGCTCCGACTCACAACGACCTTATCAAACATTGGCTGGTCCTACGCCATCTTCATGACTGATGGATGATGCTACGTTTGAGTCTATTGTTTTGTCTGTTGCATCGATCCATGCCATTGACGGTTTCCCTCCTTTTTGTTGACCCTTACTTTTACCAACCACCATGTCCTCTTCTAGTGAATGGTTTTTCCTGATGACGTGTCCAAAGTAAGGGAACAGAAGCCTCCCCGTCCTCGCTTCCAAGGAATATTCTGGTTGTATTTCATTTGAGACTGATTTCTTTGTTCTTCTGGCAGTCCATGGTATAGTCAGTATTCTTTGCAATATCACTACATGTTGATGATGGCTTGGGTCAAGTGCACATTAGTCAGCAAAGTGACATCTTTGCTTTTGAAAGCTTTAAAGAGGTCTTTCACAGCAGATTTGCCCAATGCAATAAATACATCTGATTTCTTGACCACTGCTTCTATGGACATTGATTGTTGATCCAAGTACAATGAAATTATTGACAACTTCAATTTCTTCTTCATCCATCATGATTTTGTTTATGGGTCCAGTTGTGAAGATGTTTGTTTTCTTCACATTCAGATATAATCCATACTGAAGGCTATAGTTTTTTATCTTCATCAGTAAGTGCTCCAAGACCTCTTCACTTTCTGCAAGCAAGGTTGTGTCATCTACATATCGAAGGTTGTCAATGAGTCTTCCTCCAATCCTAATGCCATGTTCTTCTTCGTATAGTCCAGCTTCTTGGGTTATTTTCTCAGCATACAGATTGAGGAAGCATGGTGAGAGGATACAAACTTACTGCACATCTTTTCCAATTTTAAACCACGCAGTGTCGCCTTAACACAATTAAGTAACATTTAATTGTGCTCATGAGGAAGCTGTACATAGACCAAGAGGCAGTCGTTTGAACAAAACAAGGGGATACTTTGTGGTTTAAAATCAGGAAAAGTGTGCATCAGGGTTGTATCCTTTTACCATAATTATTCAATCTGTATGCAAAGAAAATAATCTGAGAAGCTGGACTATATGAAGAAGAATGTGGTGTCAGGATTGGAGGAAGACTCATTAACAACATGCAATACGCAGATGACGGATGAAGATCAAAGACTAAGGCCTTCAGTATGGATTACACCTCAACATATAGAAAACAAAAATCCTCACAACTGGACTAATAAGCAACATCACGATAAACGGAGAAAATATTGAAGTTGTCAAGGACTTCGTCTTACTTGGATCCACAGTCAGTGCCCACGGAAGCAGCAGTTAAGAAATCAAACAATGTACTGCATTGGGCAAATCTGCTGCGAGAGATCTCTTTAAAGTGTTAAAAAGCAAAAATGTCACTTTGAAGACTAAGGCATGCCAGACCCAAGCCATGGTATTTTCAATTGCCTCATATGCGTGTGAAAGCTGGACAATGAATAAGGAAGACTGAAGAATAATTGATGCCTTTTACAAAGAATATTGAATATACCATGAACGGTCAGAAGAATGAACAAATCTGTCTTGGAAGAAGTACAGCCAGAAAGATCCTTACACATGAGAATGGTGAGACTTTGTCTCACGTACTTTGGATATGTTATCAGGAGGAAGCAGTCCCTGGAGAAGGACCCTATGCTTGGTAAAGCAGACGGTCAGCGAAAGAGAGGAACGAGATAGACTCAACGAGAGACTGACACAGTGGCTGCAACAATGGGCTGAAGCATAGCAACGATTGTGAGGCTAGTGCACGATCTGGCAGTGTTCCGTTCTGTTGTACAAAGCGTTGCTATGAGTCGGAACCAACTTGACGGCATCTAATAACTAATAACAACCGTATCTCCTTGTTCTGCTTGAACGATTGCCTCTTGACCATGTACAGGTTCTGCATGAGCACAATTAAGTGTTCTGGAATTCCCACTCTCCTTAATGTTATCCATAATTCATTAGGATCCACACAGTCAACTGTCTTTGCACAGTTGATAAAACAGAGGTAAACATCTTCCTGTAATTCTCTGCTTTCAGCCAAGATCTATCTGACATCGCAATGATATCCTTCATTCCATATCCTCGTCTGGAACAGGTCAGTAATACTTGTATGCAAAAATTATTCACCGAATAAACTACTGATTAACCCATCAATAGAGGGATCAAAGAGCTTCGAAAGTTCACAATTCCAACAGCATTATCCTATTTCAGAGTCTAGCTCTAACAACAAAGAATTCCTGGTATTAATGGAATCTGGAGGTGAAGTTACCTTTGAGATCATCTAGGCAGGTGAATATCTCATTGTATAAATGACCAGACTGAGGCCAATGTGCGAGTTGGGACCAATGCCCTAACTCACTTCCTGGTTTTCTTTAGTAATGAAGACATTATACTCTGGGTCAATTCCCTCACATGCAAAGTACCATTTACAGTACTTGTCTTAATTGCCTCCCAGAGCTGTAGGAGGATGAAATTAGAGAAGATGTGTGAAGAAGATCTGGAAATTTTAAAGTAAATTCAACAATTCATTCACTAAATAAACATCTATTCGCAAGCATGCAATAGGCCTACCAGGCACTGGACCAACAGATAAAAGACAGTTTTCACGGTCAAAGAATTTCCAGGCCAGTCTGGAAAAGAGCTAAGAGACGAAGAGCTAGGGAAAAAATTAATTATTCCAAGAACAGTGTACAGTTTTATGACATTTCAGTCATGGTGGAGCTTAGGGCTGCAAGAAAAACAGATTGAAGGGCATTTATTCTCTTTGGTTTTTGCCAATGGCTTAATACTAACAGTAGTAACATCTTTTACTATCATGAGTGGAAAACGATACTTCATAATGGATGCTTTGTATTTATAACTTTCAGTTCAATTAGAGCCAAGTGAAGGCTGCAAACAAGCATCCAACACCCTGCCAAGGGAAAGCGTCTCTTCCAATAGTCAAGTCCCGTGCTGATGTGAGATGCCTCACTTAACAGTACATCTACTCGCTCGCTACAGCGTCGACTGTTATTTCCACCCTCATCCCAAATGCTATACTGGCTACTCAAGTGCTAAACTATATAGACAGAGCCCACTAGGCCTTATGGATCTAGAGTGCATGTGGCAGCCTTTTTTCTGCCCCACCCTGAAGCCCCACCTGTTTTGGGACGCTCTGGTGTGGAGCAGCACGTAGTCCCATCTCTCCTGCAGGAGGACACACCCAGCACAAGGCCTTCATTGTGTCTTGGGGAACAGTAGCCCCACAGTACTACGCGGGCTGCTCCTGTTGAACGGAAGCCGGCGGCTCTTGATCGGGCGACACCACCAGAGACTAGGTGGGGCCGCGGCTGGGGAGGTGGGAGGCGGCGGCGGGTCACGCGCTCTAGGGCCGCGCGGGGACACGCGCAGGGACACGCACGGGCGCGGCCGCACCTGGAGGCGGAGCCAAGTCCCCTCCTGGTGCCCTCCCGGCGCGCGGCAGAGGCCGGCAGGTGCGTGCAGACGCCGACCGTCATGGAGCACATCCGCACGCCTAAGGTTAGTGGAAAGGCTGCGGGCGGAGGAGGAGGGAGGCTGGGCAGCTGCGGGCCGGCTTCCCGGGGGGCGCGGGCACGGCTAGGACCGCCAGCCCGGGAGGAGCAGGCGGCGCAGGAGCATCTCCCGCTGGCCCGTGCGGCTGCGCTCTCTCTCGCTGCCCGCGGGCCTAGCCGTGGCTGCAGCCGGGTCATCCTCCTGTCCCTGGGAGGCGCCGTGAGCGGGGCGTGGACAGGAAGAAACCTCGATTGTCTGCTGAGCGACGGGCTGATCTTCGCTTCCTTGCCCTGGCACGAGGCTTTATTGCTGTTGGCTGCTCTAAGCCAGCCTTTTCTAATGACAGGTGCAAGGAAGTCGGGTTAGGTGCAGTTACAGATTTAATACACCCAGAATCTTCTTGAACCCAGGGGTCCTTTAGACTCGCTCGGTTGGGCCCTGCCTTCCGCATCTTCACTCTAGCAGCTCAGTGAGCCATACAGAGCCATGCTCAGTATTCCCGTGTAGGTGGAATGGTGGCATCACTTCTTCCCTGTTCTTGCTTTTCCGGGTCTGTTTCGTTCTCTGGGGAGAAGGATGCAGCTTTTAGATTCGTGTGTTTTAAACAACACCAGCGTTTGCCACTCAACAAAAGCAGCTGGCCCCAGATCATTCCAGTGCAATAATACTGACGACCTTGAGTTTGTACCAAGCCTTCCCACCTGTAGTTGCACGGCGAGTGTAATTTATACTGAAAACAAAACAAAACAACATTCTTGCCTCAGAAAACCCCTAACCTGGTGAAAGGCTGTGTTTTAAAATCCTGTTGCTATCTCTCCTTACTGCCCCCACCGCTCCTTGCGTTTCTAGGATGATCTCATGTTCAGAAATCTCGGCCTCTGACAGAGTTACTATCAGAGTCCAGGTGGCCCCAGGAATTTCACCCATTTTGTATGGGGCGATTGCTTTCCTTTATGTCCAGCAAGAAGAGTTTCTTCCTGAATTCTGGAATGGTTCCCAAGCATCTCTCTGTAAAAGCAGCTTTTAAATTATCTCATGAGAGTGGAAGAACAAATTTTTTAGTTTGGTAGACAATTGTGCGTTCTGACAGTAAATTGAAATTGTATTGATTTTGCGCTGTGGAATTAAATTGTTGCTTCACAGTAAGGAAATTGTAAACTTAGAAGAGAGTGTCATAAACCACGAGATAGGTGGCTCAAAGCTGCGGGGCTTAAGTGGGTCTAAATCATGTCTTCCAGAGTGACGAAATTAACGCACGGACTCCCTCTGCCCTTGCCAAGAGCATCCTTTCTTCTTCTTCTTTCTTTCTGACCAAGGGGGAGGGGCTGTATAAAGATGGTACCTGATGTGAATGACAATAAAAAGAGTGGTGGGATGACATGGTACTGGCTGCCATTTTCTTATAGAAAATTAATTTCGGGAGGAAGGGCCTTTTCTGGTCTGTAGACAAACTCGTCCTGGGAGAAGCCGTGTGTACACAGCTGAGTGGCGAGCAATATTGTCCTTACTTATTCCTAGAACTGGTTTCCACAGACACTCTTTAAGCACTTCAGTACTTAAGATCAGAACTTCTACCTGGAAATGGAAAGAAATGGGGGGAAATGGAGAATTGTCTGAAATGTCATTAACATTTAGGATAATGCAGGTGGAAGAAATCTGAAACTACAGAGCACAAGGCTGCTAACAGGGCGTGTGCATAAAATACACACTTGCTGGTGGTCATAGCCATCTGTAGTGTTAGCTTCCGTGATACTCTGCAGGGTCTGAAGAGGTGGGTTGCTTTAGATTTCATAGTTTCCTATCTTGGGTGGTTTATAAGGAGTGTAAACAAAGTTTGTTTATCTGACCCATGGTGGGTTTGATGCACCATTTACCATATGGGTGGCAAGATTTTATTTTAAGAGGAAAAGAAATGTTTGCATCAATAACGTCCATTTGCTTTCCTAGTACAATGAAAGTCATTCATTTACTCCTTATTAACTGAGTAATGTCTGTCCCAGCCTCTGAGTTCTGCTTCCGTCTCTGGGGTGCAATTTAAGGAGACAGATGTACCTGAATAGTCTGGAATGCGTGCACGTTTTGTTTGGAGTGTGTGTGTTTGTGTGTGTGTCTAACTGAAGTCTTCAATGGAGCATACGCTAAGCAGGGTGCTCCCAGAATGGATCCTCTGTAGAAAAAAAAAAAAAGAGAAATGCTCCAAGGATAAGCTAGTTTGCAGTTGGGGCAAACTGAAGACAACCTGTACTCATCACAGTAAATCTTTGTATTTCTACTTCACTGCCTGGCTTCCTTTACCACTTTGAAACCTTGCCTGTATGAAATTATTCTGCCAGAAGTTTAGGGATAATTTGGGTTCAAGTACTACTTAGTTATATGAAAAGGCTTCACGGCCCTTAGAAGCAGCTTGAAGTGTTTGTAGAGTTTGGCTTGGTGCTAGATTGGTGTTAATGTGTCTGTGATCTGGGCTAAGTAAGCTCTAACTTTTGTGCATTGGTCTTTTTGGTAGGCAGTTTCCCCACGAGTGTGAGTTGAATTACTTACAGAGCATGTGCATAAAATGCATACTTGTTGATGACATGCTCATCTTCACTGTTTGCTTCCATTATACTCTGCTGGACGTGAATGGGTACGTCACCCGAGTTCTCACGGTTTCATAGCTTGGGTGATATGGTATGTGATAGCCGCCCAAACTTCAGAACAAACCTGGAATACGTCTTCTCTTCCTTTCCACCTCTGTCACCCTAGTCCGAGCCATTGCTCAGAAAACTTCCGTTTGGTCTTGTATATTTGATTGAACTGAGAAGCACGTTCCTCACATGTGTTAGTTTTTTGTTTTACAGGCCTGTCTAATATTTGTCTGAAAAGTGGGCTTTGAGAATGGTTTCAGTCCTGGGTTAGTGGAGTGTCCAGGGGCTATAGTGTCAGGGGCTCCTCTAGTTTCTATCAGACGAGTAAGTCTGGTCTTTTTACTTGAATTTGAATTATTTTCTACATTTTTCTCCCGCTCTATCCGGGACTGTGTGTTGTGATCCCTGTCAGGGCGGTGGTTGGTTGTGGCCGGGCACCATCTAGTTCTTCTGGTCTCAGGCTGGTGGGGTCTTTGGTTCATGTGGTCCTTTAGTCCTTTGGGCCAATATTTTCCTTGTGTCTTTGGTTTTCTCCATTCTCCTTTGCTCTGACAGCTTCTGTCCAGAATCAGGATGAGGAGGCATGAAGGGACAGGAACTGGACGAATGGACACAGGAAACCTGGGGTAGAAAGGGAGAGCGTGCTGTCAGATTGTGGGGATTGCAACCAATGTCGCAAAACAGTATGAGTATAAATTTTTTAATGAGAAATTAACTTGAGCTCTAAACTTTCACCTAAAGCACAATTAAAAAATAAAGACAAAGCTATCGCTTAAATCAAACGTTCACTTTAAATTAAAGAAAGTAAAAACAACTCCAGACTGGTCTCCTAGAGTTCCTCTTTTGCTCTTCTCTAATGCCTTGTCCTCAGTGTAGCCAGGGCGATGCTTTTAGGATACAAATTGGTAATGTCACTTCCCTGCTAAAATTCTTGGGTGGCTTCCCTTTGCATCCAGTACATAAAGTGAGAATCTCCAGAGTGGCCCATAAGGCCTCGAGTGGACTGGCCCCTGCCTACCTCCCCAGCCTCATTTTGTGACACTCTTCTTTATTCTCTTTCCTGTGGCCTTCATAGGTTTCTCAAATGTGCCACGTTCTTTTCTACCTCAGGACTTTTGCACTGTCTTTCCATCTGGGGGAACACCCTTATCCTCACTCCTTATCTGGCTAAATTGCTCACCTACCTAGTTTCAGATGAAATATGACTTCCTCAGGGAGACTGTCTGACCCGCCATCTACATCAGAGTACGCTGTGTTTCCTCCTGATGCCCCTCATTCCAATTTTTATGTTTATTTGAGTGATTCTTTGTTTAATGTCAAGTTTCCTCTTAGATTGGAAGCTCCATGAGGTCAGGGGTGATGTATGGTTCACCACCGTAGCCCTAGCAACAAATGCTCTGCCTCGTACCAAGTAATGTACGCAATAAATGAATGAATAATTGAACAGTTGACGGGAAAGCGTAATTCTTGAATTCAGCACTTCATTTTGTAGAATTTGTAATCCAGATCTCATGCAAATCACACCCATGACTTGGAACAGCATTGTGAATCTTCAGATAGTATTGGTGTTAAATATTTGTGGATGTCAGTGTATGAGTATATTATATGAATATTATATATGTAATATAGTGATTATATTTTATCTGTATTCATAGCTAAATCCTTCATGTGTATCCAACAATATGATATAGAATGATTTATGTCGTATATGGAACCTAGTTAACTTTTGAAGTATTTAAGTGGTATAAATAGATAAATTTACATCAAAAGGGAATATAGTTTTTTATTATTATACTTTTAAACCTCTTCTTAGAAGAATAGCTCAATAAGCATAAATTTATATTTATATTACTCCAAGTTCATTTCTAATTTATGTCAGTGGTAATGTATCCTTTCTATGTAGTTATAAACAGGGTATTTGTTCTCTTTTATTGTACAATAATACGTACTGTTTGCCTACATTATATACAGGTTTTATATTCAAAAGTAGTCCGCCTATTTATTATTTTAGTAATTAAGTATTAGTAGTTTGATCACAGATTGTTAACCTGTCTCCACTATTAGACACCTGGGTTTCGTGCCCCTATGAAAATGCCTGATATAATTTTCCTAACGTGTATTCGCGAAGCAGAACAGCTGAGGCGGAGTAGGAATAGCCATTTAAGGGTTCTTATTACACAGGGTCTTTCAGTATTTGAAAGCTCATATGGCCCAAGGTTTAGGCAATTCTTTATAGTCCCAGAGAGCAGAAATAAAGGGTAGACATTACAGAGAAGGTTTTTGGCTTAATATAGAGTTATTTTCTAAATTATACCTCTTTGAAAAAAAAAATTCATTTGTCTATTAAAGGAGTAGAGATGTCTAAGCAGAGTTTGGATG